GAATTGTGAAGTGTGTTTATGAACACTTTTCCCCTTTTCTTGCCTGCAAGCAAACCAAGAGGTACTGGAACAGACAGAAGAAATGAGATTTCACTCCTTCTGCAGCCAAGCATCTCGCCGAAGCCTGATTTGGATCGCTGCTTGCTGTAAGCTAAACTGAAAGATGATGTATCTCGAAGACAATAACTTAATATTAAACACTGTACCTTTGTAGCACTCATCATATCACATTTCAAAAGGCTTACACCAGAAGTCTCATTAGCAAAACCATTAAAACAAGCACACAGCTGGTGGAGAGCATTTACTGTGCAAAAGAGTAAAATTCTTCTAAATTTATAGTAGCAAAATTGATTACCGATTCTAACATCTGTCACAACTTTCTAAGGAGAATTTAAATGCAGAAGTCTCTTAGATCAGAAACATCAGGCTAGGCTCTAAAGCCAGCTCCCCTCCCCCAGTAATCACATCAATAATCTCTGTGCAAATCAAACGTGCTCTTTGCATAAAAGCAGTTGTTACTGTTATATATTATATAATAAGCACTCTAAAGTGCTTAAGATGTAGCTCAATGTATTTACGCTACATTTGTAATCATATAGAAGCCAAGGTAACTTTCTTCAAAGGATAACATTGAGGAGGAAAGAAAAAAAACCTAAAGTAAACAGCACCAGATGCAAGCCTGAAAAAGTTTAAATATGCAAGCTGGTGTCTTCATTATTCAGAAATGTAAAAGGAACTACCTGTAAGCAGCATGCAAATGCAGATCGCTAAGATGGCAATAGGTGGGTTTGTATTTCATGCCTTTCCCTGCACAAGCCATCTCTAGTACCCTGCAGCAAGGAGCACACAGCCACAGGCACCAAATCCACGCACTGTCAAATATAGCACATCCTAAGACAAAGAAAGCTAAGAACTTTTTTGGGGGCCCTTTATTAAAAAAGAGAGGAGAAAAAAGAAAAAAAGACAAGAGTTACTACACCTTTCCCACAGAGCCATGACTCTGAAATCTCAACTCCAGTGAAGTAGGAAAAGATTGAGGGCAAGGTTTTACCCAAGACCTCAAGCAAGCATTGCACATGATGGCAAAAAGTGCCACAAGTCTAACGGAACTCCAGAAGGTGCCAATAAGCTGATTCTTTGGGGGCTTTTGTGACCCTCCTGGAGGGACAGGGTGGATAAGGCTCCGCTTTGTCATCAGTTCCTGTGGTGCCATAACATCTATTAACCTAAAGGGGTTTTTTTTCCCCTCCCAGTTTGCTTTGTGTGTGGCTCCAATCTGTTTAAGAGAACATTGGCACCTGTCCCCTGAAAGTTAAAGCAGTTCAGCAGTGCCTACTCGGTGTCTGGCAGCACAGCAAGTACCGTAAGGTACAGTGTACTGAGCAGATTGGACAGGATTTATCACAATTAAGTCAAGAAGATACAGACAGAAGAGGTGACACCATGTCAAGGTTGGAAGAGAGCTCCTCGGAGCACACAACCGACACCAGGGACCTTTTTCCCAGCGCTCCTCAGGCCCGTGAATGTCCACGGAGCAGCAGCCAATTGCTTCAGGAGTTACCTCAGTCTCTCAACAGGTAGAAAAAAGCACGCTCAGAGATGTTGCAACGTAATGCTGAACCCCAAAGGGGGCACTTTCTGCTGGTATGTCCATCACCATCTTTTCTCCAGCTATTTTCAAAGCACTCGGGTAGAAATCTGGCAGCCCTTTTGCCAGAAGTCACCGCATCCTGACTTCATTTATCAGCAGCTCAGCAGGGGATTCCCATTTGTCTCAGCCGACATCACTGCTGCCTGGGAAAACACTTTGTGATTTATGGACAGCAGCAACAAGAACAACACTTTTCAAAGTTTCTCGGACGACCAAATTTGGTCTAGCACAACTGAGGGAAATGCAACAAAAAGGCAAAACACAAATGGGTCACAAGTCCGCTGGAGGATGAGAGCTTACAGAACACTGGTTCCCTATTTTCTTGTTCAGGCAACACATTTGGTTAATAGTGTTTTTGAAGAAACCATCAACTTCACCATAAAACTTCAAGGGGCTGAAAATCTACCTCTTCCCTCCTGAGCTTCTGGACCTTCACTATTAATTCATACCTCATTTCTCACCCAGATACAGCATTATGAAGCAGCAACCACTGGAAGAGATTTCTCATCCTTTCGATGAGAATAAAGGATTCACATCCTCAGCACTTCCTCCGAGCCTTCGCCTATCGAGTCACCCCTCAATCGTTCTTATGAACTCGAGGCTGTCAGAAGACAAGACGTCTCAAACATGACGTTTGGAAAGGGCACATTTTAAATTGCACTTGTTAGCATCTTTTCTTTTTCCTTTCAATTTAATCTAGAGGGCAGAAGACACATGACAAGAAACAAATGGAGCCTTCTGGGAGTCTACCTGCTGTTCTAATGCAAACTCCTCAGAAAAACATTTCTCAGCACAGAAAATTTAACATGAAGATCATCTCAGTGAAAATCACTCTAGAAAAGATAAAACATGCTCCAAATAGGAGTGAACAAAGAGGGGCTTTCTCACCATTTTCTGCAGAAAGAAACGTCACACAAGATTTTTATCTTTTATTCCTGAACTGCCTTTGCAAACGCAGCAGCAACTAATCACCAACACACTGTATGATGTTGTCAAATCATACTGGGAACAATTCATTCATTATTAAATTCACTCCTTTATTAAGGGCTTAAGAACTTTGTGCACAACTTCAGTTAAAATCATGAAATCTATCAACATAACTACCTCACTAAGGTAACGTTTAAAACCCACCTGTTTGCCGAGGCCCTTCCAGATCCATTTTTAACAAGAACCAGCCTGATTTTTGCTGGCAGGAAAGAGAACAGACAAGACAGACATCCTCACTTCTTCTTTACCTAGGACCAAGTTGTCTCCTCTTCCTTTCCCCCACTTGTCTGTTTGGATTATCGACATTTTGCAGGAGCAGAACCTGTGTCCCCCTGCCCATCATGCCCGCAGCGCCGACCACAGAGCCCCAGGGAAGCCGGTAGACACACAGGCAAGCAGCAAAACTGTGCAGGAGCAGCACTTGCTGAACACCACCACAGCAAGCACAGAAAGGTACACCTTCAGTCTTTATTTTTCCAATATTCACAAGCTCAAACCTATCCCTGATTCCTAATAGCAGTGACTCATATCAACAGCAATGCCAGCCCGGGTGGTTTGTCAGGCAGTGTGAAAATATGGGACTTGCGTATTCTCTCCGGATACATTGGCATCACTTTCCCAACACGACACTTCCCCACCTATTCCAAAAGAGGAGCTGTATTTCTCAGGAATCTGCAGATACATCAGCCTTCGCCACAGCCCAGCAGCACGGTGTGCAACGTCACCCGTGGACACTAAGGTGATGCGCTCAGAAGGAAAACAGAAAGGTGCTTCTGCCCAGAAGCACTTCAAGACAGCTTTGGGGTACCAGAACCTTTATAAAACATTAAGAGAAAAAACAAACAAACAGCAGCTTCCCCAAGACTTCTTGCTGTCCCCCCCACATGATGAGGCAAGATACAGCTGAGCAAGGGCTGCTAGAACAGGGTATTTCCAACTGCAACAACCACTAATTGGCTCTTGTGCTATCAGTATTTCAAGGACCCTTCAAAGTGCAGTTGCTTTGAGGAGAAAAATGCACCTGCTAGTTGAGCTTCTTTCTCCTCTCCTCTTCACCTTGACCAGAGTATTTTTAGCCGTATGGACAGACTTGCCAATATTTTCACCTTCAATTCTGTGCAAGGAAATTTCTGACAACGCAACAACGAACGAACCATATCTATCCAGGGTCAAGAGAGGCAGAAAGAAAGAAATTACAGGCAAAGGTAAGTTTCCAAAAGGACTTTTTAAAAAATATTTTTGCCTTAGCAGTTTAGCTCACCTTCTCTCCACAGAGCTTAGCACGTTTTTACCCGATCTCAGCAAGTTTAGAGTTTGGCCTGTGATTTTGCTTAACAAGAACAGCCGCCACACTTGCACGCAAACAGCCTGACCGAGCTACTCGCACGCCTTTGCAGGAGAAAGCGCCGCTCAGTTACACTGACTCTCCCAGATCTACTCATCTAAGTGCATTTGGCGGAAAACGGTCCAACACTGTTGTCTCAGAAGGCAGAAAAACCTCATTATTTAAACGAAACAGTCTCTCTTGTCTGTTCGTCTCAGCAGGTAACGCATCAACTTCTGCCAAATCAGTAAACACAGGGACTTGCTTCCACCAGAGCACGGTATCAGTAAATAAGAGAGAGAACACATACTCACAAAGCACTACTCTTATTAATTCATGTGACGCCGGGACCACAAGCGCTTTCATTAATTACTACAAGAACTGTTACACGGTAGAGTAAGTTCTGAGGTGACAGCAGCAGACACGATCCCACGGGCTTTCAGGGCGCCGTTCAGCCGCCTCAGACAGACACAAACTGTTACAAACCACTGACAGTGTAAAGGGTCACCCTTGGTATAATGCTCACATCTACTGTTTGGGGTAAGTCTTCCCCAAATTTGCAGACTTCTGTGTAGCAGGAGGGCATCTAGAGCTAGTAAACTCCAGCACACACATTTTAGTGTCCTTTATGTAGTGCAATTTCACAGGAACCCTTGAGGACCAGTACTAAGTGCCACAGGGGGATCTACATCTCTTACTAGGTGCCCCTGAATTTCCAGGTTTCCTCCAGCAGCCTGCTGCTGGTGTTTCATTAGGAAAATCAGCTATTATTTTATAATCTCTTCATCCCTCACAGCAGTTTATTGTCCCATTTGATGTACACTCTGCTCTCCTTTTGTCATTAAGCTTCTCCCCAGGTGGAAAACTGATCAGACTTGCTGGACTTTATACACCTTAATGCACAAAGCACATAAATACGCTCCCAACAGACCGAGAACCCACTCCATGGTCCATCTTCCATTCCACTTTTGTCCTGAGCAGGTAAGGTACAGAAGGAAGAAAAAGAAATATTTTAAAAATACATTCTTAACTGGGTACCTTTTCAGACAAAGCCTTTAAACTGTCTAGAAACCTCTGCCAGAAATCCTTGAAGAGGGGTCGATCAATTCTCTTCAGGCTCTCTTTGGTGCTGGCATCCACACTGACATACAGCTGCGTTACCGGCTCAAGGTTCCTTGGAAATAAAAAGAAGTTGCTGTTTTCAGACGTTACTGCTCACTGAATTTGTGCTTTCCTACCAGAGCACACATAAAATACAGTACCTCTGAACAAGCTGTTTTGCTGGTCCAGCAGGGACAGGAACTGCACATTATTTACAGGGAAAACTCTCGAAGTCCAGTAGTTCATCTCTGCCAAGTGACCGTCATCTTAATACCAAAATGTTACAACCCACTTTCAACAAGTACTACACCTCAAAGCTAAGAACGTCACACACAGAGGCCTTGGCTGACATTTTAATTATCTTTGCCTCACTGAACTGGAACATATTTCACTCCAGCGTGGCTGTAACACATTCCGAAAGGCTTCCCCAAGCAGGCGGCCAGGGGTTCACAGGAGGCACTGAAGGGCTCTGCTTCTCACCACAGCCCCCGTGGTTAAAAACCATAAAGCTCAGCCCCCTCCCCAAGTTCTATTTGCCCTGCCCATGGAAAAATAATCCCAGTTCAGGAGAAACACAGGCATAATTCAGCCAGTTTCTACCGCTGGACACATCAAACTTACCTGACCTGCAACTGGTATCATCAGTCAGCTCATTTTTTTGAAGGGAAATCAAAGCTGTTTAGAAAATAAACCCAAGCACAATCTCCCCATGTGTTCCCCTTCCACTTCCAAGGCTCTTAGTTCACAGAGACCCTGCACTACAGCCTTTCTGGTCACATAATGCCCATAAGCACAGCATCTGCGAGCCCAACACCAGGAACTGCTAAAAAGATTAAACATCCTCTGCTGTGTGAAGAGCCTGAGTTGAGTTTAATCCCTTCCATAAAGCCCAAGGGTATAAATAACGGAGAAGCAGCAATAGCTGCAGTCCATTAGCAAAGGGATAATGAAGGGCATGAAGAGGAACAACCTAAAACGAGCTCCCTTGTCACAGACAAAACTGATAAAGCCAGCGAGTGTAACACACATCCACCCCCCCTGACATCTTCCACCCCGGGGTCTCCGAGCTGAAGCGACAGCATCCTAATTGCACGAGCTCCTAACACTTTTAGGACAATGTTTTGCAAGTGGGTTTTTTTGTGAAGCCTGTTAATGAGCAGGCTATAGCCCCAGCTTGATTTGGTTCTTTACAGAAGATGAGAGAAAAACCAGATTAGAAACTATTGTTCAGCTGCCAAACAGTGCCTCCCAAAAATAAACCAAATGCCCTGCCCTCCCCAAAGGTGACAAAGTGACAAGAACCATCCAGAGTGAGACCAAGCAGAGCTCTTATTGTCTAGAAAAATCCACTTAACATGGACACTCAGACCTATCTAAACATATTCCCTCTGTATGTATTTAGACAGAAGAATGAAATAGGCCAGAACAAATTTAACATTTTAGGTTAAAAACACCCTGTTTTGTAAACAAGTTTGTCTGGACTGGCAGCCCAAAGCCACAATCTCCAAAAACAACCAAATGTTCTAGGCGTAAGTACACTGAAGTATTCAGCTTCAAAGAGCACAGCCAAAATGCAGTTTTCTTTACTTAATGCTGCATTTGCCTAATTAAAAGGGGCCCCAATGAAGATGGAGTGTATGTTTTTAAAAACATGAGCTGAGAAAAATCATCTCTTCTCTGAGAATCTCAATCTTACAGAAATACAAGAGCCAGACTTGCTGTTTTATTGAAGAAAATTTAAGGAATCAGAAGAGATCCCAGGGAGGAATTTCTGCCCCACATTGCTCCAAAATGAAGCATCCACAGGGCTCTGCCATGGCTGGGACCAGAGTCAGGACACCCTCACGTCTACTCTGCCAAAGGGGAACAAGGAGAAAGGGCAGACATGGGTCCAGCCAACACCAGGGAGAAGAGGAGCACAAACTGACATTCCTGGAGCACAGTTACATTTCATAATTAACAGGAAACGTAGTTGTGTGGTACTAGGATGCATTTTCCAACATTCCTCCTTAATTTTAGGTTGCGATTTCCAAGCTAGCTCAGACAGCTGACACTGCATCCAGGAGATCAAATTCACGCCACCTCCCACACACGAACTTGGGCAAAAACCGTAACCGAGTAGCGCAGAATAATTCAAGAGCAATGAATTGAGTTCAGGCCACCAGCCATGAGGTGGTTTCCCAAGCCTGACAGTACACAGCCTGGTCAGTGATACAAAGAGCAGAAACATCCATAGAATAAAAAAAAAAAAAAAAAAAAAAAAAAAAGCATTTGCTTTATGAGCAATAATAAGTATCTGCTCATTATTACTATTATCAACGCTCACAAATGCAAACACATTCACGAGTGTTTTTGTTCACAGCCACTAAAGCAGAAACAAGAGGAGAACGAGGACAAGAGCCAGGTAACTGCTCAGGGAGAGCTTGTGCACCGTGAAACCTCCTGCCCTTCACGAAAACTTGCGTGTGCCTGAAGGCACATGAAGCTGCAGCCCAAACACAAGAGGAGGAAGAGGAGGACACAGGGGGCACCGTCCTGCAGAGCCAGTGGGTCCCTCTGCTAAACCCAGCAAGCAGCCCAGGCCACACTCCCCACTCGTGCGCTGGACGCCAGAGGTCACGCTGCCTATTTTAGAACTTTTAGCTCCCCTCTGCTGTAGAAAAGTAGAGCCTGGTGTGTGCTTCAGCTCCCATATTAAGCAAATCATTTGCTTTGATGAGCCAAAGATCAGTTGCAGTTTTTAAGACAGCAAGACTAGCATTTTATCACTTTCTTTTTGGTTCCTTTTTTAAAAACATTCAGCAGCTCCTAAGAAACACGGCTTCAAATATAGTATGCGCTCTCTTTTTAAAACGCTATTTTTAGGAAAGAGCAATTTCTGTCTATCAGGCACATAATACATGACTTAAAGTAACTTGATTACACAATTATTCAATCATTTGGAATGCCTTTGTGGTGTATAATTACTCACTCAAAAATTGCATGCCCTCCCCGCTCACTGCCATATTCAGGCCACGAGAAGGAAGAGAAAAGGAAGCTTTAGCAGAAAGTGCTAACACAGAGAGGCACGAAGCTGCAGTGACAAGCTGAGCGACGTACCAAAACTACCCTGCACACAGCTCTGCTGACAAGCTCTCATAACGCCTGGGTTGGACGTTGTCAGTATTCTGAGCTGATGGTCTGAAAGCATCCCATGAGCTCCCAACCGACTCGCAGCTCCCACCACGTGCTGCATTTCCTTGCCACGTTGCTTGAGATTTTGTTAAAAGCAGCCCGGATGCTCAAGAACATCAGAAACATCAGAAAGACTCTGAAAGAGGCCATTAAAACGTTTTGAACATTTAGCTCGAAGTCCCTCAGAGGCAGGTTAAAAACTACTGATCACACTTTTGGAGATGAGTATGTGCTTTTCACTTTTTCTTATCCTGCACCCCAGGTCCTGCAGGAGATGGTGGGCTGTAGATATCTTTAATTTGAGCCATTACGGCTGGTCTTAACAAGTTAGAACCAAGATCACACCACAAGAGAAAACAGAAACCAAAAAGGCAATTTAGGAGCTCAGTCTCCTGCTCTAGCAGGAGTGTTTCTAGTCGGAAACACTCACACCAGTCATCCAGGTCCCCAAGCACAAAACGCAGCTCACTTGCTGTTCTCCCTCCCTTGCACCTCCGGGAGGTACTATATTACACTCTCTCCACTTTCAGAAGTAATCACACTTTTAAGAGATATAGAAAAGAAAATCAAACCGGGGGAGAGAAAGAGATGAGAAAGGGTGTAGGGAGATCAAGGTTAAAAATCAAATAGATGCCAAGTAGGCTTTGTCATTGTCAGTGCTCATGCAGAACGGACTCTGATGAACGATAAAACGGAATTAAAACACAAGTTGGCACTCACGACGTTTTAGTAGGGAGATATTTTGATCCGACTCTTACCTAATCTCATCGGGGAACTGTGCGTTTGTAACCAGGAAACTAGAGATGCCGTACTGGTGCAGGAGCTTCACAAAGCGGTTGATCTCCGGGTACATGATGGGCTCTCCCACCAATGACAACGCACAGTGCTTTGCTCTCATTGCCTCCTCAAAACGATCGGCTTTTACTCCCGACACACCTGCAAAAAGCGAGAAAAACAAGCTTAAATCAACCAACTCCCTCCCCCAAACTACACATCTGTATCTAAAATACACCCTGGCACAAGGGAGACTGAGCAGAACCAGCTGGCTGTTGCCTTGTGTCCTCCTCGGGACAAGTGCCCAGGGAGCCACCTCTGCAGGAATCCACCCAGACACACAGAGCCTGGGGCTTTGTGGGTCCCGTTAACCACGGCAAGAAATTTTCTGGTAATGTTTGAGTCAAGTTTTCCAACACTAAGACCTCAGTGATGCTGCCTGAATGTTGAGACAGAAAGACAAGAGTGAGTTTAACACCACTTCAAGTAGGCATCTCAGAAAAAAACCCCAACCAAACAAACAGAAAAAACCCACAACCAGGTTAACCCTCTGCAGTTCCTGAGTGCCATGAAGAGCAGCTCCCCAGAGGAGCTGGGCACATCTCACCCAGCAAAGCACCAGCCACCAGGTCTGAGTCCATACTGGCAGCCCCATGAACTGCAACTCCACAAGAGGATGCGTTCAAAAAGAAAATCCAACAGATGAGACGTTTCAGAAGGAAGGGGAAAACACAAGAAGCTCAACTGCAGTGTCCACATGAAAATGCTATCTGTAGGTTTAACCAATCTGAGCCACATTTCTTATACCCACGGGAGGGCAGGAGAGAGGCAAATGCTCCTCCAGCCCATCTGCTGTCACCCAAGTGTTCAGGACCCTGTATGAAATCACCTGACTACAAAACAAGCTTTTGTTCCAGATATGTCACTTCACGTTTCCTTGATGTGCCTTGATGTACTTGAATAATATCTGAGGTTTTAGATTGGGGGTTGGTCTGTTTTAAAAAAAAAAAAAGACAAGAGTTTGAAAGCAGGTCCTCAGCTCACCTCTCGTTGCCTAGATGCTGGAGCTCAAGAAGTACAGAAAATTACATGCTATGCTGCAAAGCCAAGATAAAAAGAGGTGTTCGTGGATATTGCTTCAGCTTCACGTAGAAAAGCTGGTTTGCGATCAGAGCAAAGCTTAGTGCATTTTAAACCAGTCAGGCTCAGTTCCGAATAAGCGACAGGAGTAATGGTTATTCCATAGAAACTTGACAGTACTAAACCGAGAACTTTATTTGAAAAGAAAGAAGCATCTCCACCACAAACTGAGATTAAAGGACTAACTTTCGTATTACTAAAGCTACTGTAAGTCATTTTTGGAATTAATTAATTTCCCTCTCTCAGCATCTTGCAACTGGACTACAATAATTACCGTGCCAGCTTTATAAGCAGAAAGAAAAGAAATCCGACATCACGTAAAGTTTGACAGTAACTTTCTCAAAACAGTTTACAGCAATTCTGGCACACAGTAAATACACCCCAGAGGAGAGTAGAGGTTTTGTATGCAATCATTTGACCACATAAATCACAAGCTAGACAGGGATAAACTAAACAGGATTAGTGGGTATTCCAGGGAGCACATGAACTCTCCCTGTACTTTCAGCTGCCATGCTGCTACAGCACTCAACCCCTGCTCCTGGAGATGAGCCTCCTTCTGACTTCAGTCAATGAATTCCAGCAAAGTCAGGGCCTGGGCAGATTTTGTACGGCACGCAGCAGGTCCAACACAAGTGCAAGAGCCTCAAGCTGTAGGAACTTGAGCAGCCTCGGCAAGCGGCAGCGGCAAACAGCTTTCAGCTCCTGCCGAGCTCAGATCTCAGCAGAGCACGCAGCCAAACCTCCCCGACCAGCACATGTCTTTCGAAAAGCTGATTCCAGCTGCTCTCCTATTGGTGCACTTTTAATTTGGGCTAAAAAAAAAAAAAAAAGCATCAGCTGGCACATCACTCTAGATAGAGGCTGGTTGTTGACTTCAGATACTTGTCTGCATGTACCTGCGCACCAGTCATCACAAATGCCTGGGTGAGTGAGGAGACAAGAATCCTGTTTTATCCACTCTAATGGCAAGACACACAGGCAGTCTTAGGATTTCCTAGCTCAGGTCATGCATTTCTGTTTGTTTTTTCCTTTTTCTCAAAGTTGAACCAGGGATGTATTATCAGAGACTCCCACTCTCCTCTTTTTGAATTATGTTTCCATTTTGTGTGTGCCCTTCAGAAGGGTACAGAGATTTACTAGTCACTACCCAGAAATTGTATCCATCAAAAAAAATGCTTCACACTTTCCCACCTTAGCTCCCTATCAGTAAGATTTCCCCCCATCGGTTACTCTAAAAGAGAATTATGTGACATTAACTAACATCTATGGTCTTCAAATACAGTACAAACTATGGCAACAATAAAAGAGAAGGTGACATACCATCTCTAAAAGCACAAATAGGGGCTCTTACAGGATAGAGGGCTATCCTCTAGGGAATCCTATAGCACAGAGAGACCCCAAGAACCCTCCTTTCAAAGAAGATCTCACTTGTACTACAACGTGTGGAATTAATAAAGCACCAGATTAGCTCACCATTTCCTTTGGTGCACAGAGATGTCCGTGTGTGCACTGGCACCAGAAAGAGCACCCATTTACCCCCGCAGCTTTGGGTATTACCTGAGTGGCATTACCAGACACTCGAGAGGCTTTGAGGGCTCTCTAGCAAAGACATTTTCCCCAGGCTTTTCTTCTCCAATAGCCCAAACAGTCTGAACTGCTCCATGCTGGGGGTCAGTGTTCAAACTCCTCGGCAGTCGCACACAGCTCCCAGCTGGAAATTCCCCTGGAGACCCTGGAGCCCAGCCGCAACCTCGCCTCCCTCTTTAACAAAGCAATCTAGTCCAGCTCACTGCTCAAAGCCCTGGGGTGGTTTGTGGGGTTTCGGTGTGGGTTGTGGGTTTTTTCATTAAAAAAATAAAATAAAATCCATCACAATAAAATCCAACCTACTATTCGTGGAGCGCTGCTAAGTTCACTGGAAGCAGACCGTCATGTTTTCTGCCTGAGGCACTTCCAGCCTGGCCAGAACACAGCTCTGGCACGGTACACAGGGACTTTCATCCAGCAGGACACCGTGCATCTTTTAACTCCCTGGCTTCAGCTTTCCAGATAGTGTTTCAACTCAATTTTCCTTTCACTGATTCCGCTCTAACAGTATTTTCATGTGCACCTCAGGGAAGCGACAACGTAAAATTCACAAAATATACTAGTGAGCTACTGGGCTTCTCTTAATGATTTTTCTTCTCCTTAATAAACCTTTTGCTTTCAGGATCCCAAGGCAGGAAGCATGTTGCCACCTATCACTCTGAAAAAATAACTCAACTTTTCTTTTTCAGTTTGGCAGCATGACTCTAGTCCAGAGCCCTTTTGTTGCTGTTGTTGCTGTTTTTCTCCTTTCTCAGTTCCAGGCCAAAGACAACGCTGCTGAGGATGCACATGCAAGTTTCAGGGTACTCCCAGGGCTTGGTATCAGCCACCAAACTGACCTGGAGCTATTGATGCACACCCAGCCACATCTCAGCTCATCTAAGAACGTGGCTGTCCAGAATGGACTGAATGAAAGAATGAATGAAGCTCATGAGGCCCCAACTTATTTTTCTGCCTATTACGTAACTCCAGGGAATGAGACAGAGAAACTCTGCTCTACTGACCAAAGTGATCTTTTTGCCTGTCACATTTTTAATCCAATGGGTTCTCTCTGCACACAACTAATATAAACAAACAAGTTCCCAAAATGAGGCTCGGTCTTGGCTGTCATCTTGCACTTTTTATGGATGGTTCATTCAGCTTGTGCTGCTTGCAGTCTTAGACCCTTCCTACCAAGCTGGCCTGCCCTCCCAGTAGGCAAAGCTGAGCTTGGCAGAGTAACCAAGTTCTTCTTTCCCAAGTGTGATAAAACACCCAACTATCTATATTTAGATATACAGACAGATAATGAACAAATAACAAACTCACAAGGAATATTTTTCAGAGGTGCTATGTAACTGTAATTTCAGTCACAAACACATGTACTGAATAATTCCTGAAAATACCACTCTGAATGCTACAGCACACTCGTTAATGAGAAAAATGCTATCTAGAGGTTTGAGTTAACACAAAAGCTCCCACAGGCCTAAGGCTGGGCAGTATATTTCCTATCAGGTTAGAGATTGATTCCTTTCACCTTCTACCTGACCTCACTTTTACATAAGAATAAAGGTTACCGTGGCAAACATGAGTTTGCCACAATCGTTTCTTCTCACTTACCCATGTTTCTGATACCATGAATCTCATGTCTCCCTCTCAGCATTTCACAGATGGCCAGAACATTTTCATCTATGCTTTGAAGATGCTACTGCTGGTTGTCTTCCAAAAGCATCGTTAACAGGCAAGAAGTAGGAGAAAGTTACCTTTGAACTGCTTGACCATATTCTGGTGGTTCTCAATCGCCTTCTGCAAGATCATTTCAGGTTGGTCCATCTTCCATCGCCACTCCGTGCCCACCGGATTAGTATGATGTCTAAGAAAACAGAGATATAGCTATTCACTGTCATTTGTAACATGCATGGATGAGCCCACCTGTCACCCTGGGGACTTTGGCATTGCGTGACGGGCTCCATCACGCTCACACTTGGACAAACTCAACGCAGAGTGAGCCTCTACAAAAGCACAGACCTCTCCCCGCTGAGAGGAATTTCTCACCAACCCTCCTGCACTTAGACTGGTATCGAACAGCAGTAATTCAGCCTCTAAGTATCATCTGAAGAAAATCAATGCATTTCTGTGCTTTCAGCGCCTTGTTCTCACTTCTTCTGCTTTTTTTCCACAATACACTAGGAAAGTTCCTC